TAAAGCGAGACTCAATCATATTACTTCTAGAGAATGTTTTTAGCCTACGTATAACTGAAATACTTCTCTCACATTCACAAGTTGTTATTGGAATTGTTCCTAAAATTATAAATGCTGTCCTTATATTTAGAAAACCTCTCATGTCAATGGACTTTAAAGTACCAGCAACAGTTGAAGGAATACTTGACTGGTTTTCCCAAAATAATTCCCATAAATCTAACTCAGCATGTATTGAAGTAAAATGAGGCATATCAGATGAATAGAAATTTAAAAATTCATAAAAATCAGATTTCCATGGTTTTTTAACTTGTATTCTGGACAGTACAGTTGAAGGAACTGCTGCTAGACCTTCATAAACAAACATGCCATTTTCTGGAAACCTATTATCTAGCTCATTAATAAGATGTTCAATTAATGGAGATGTAATGCTGTGTTTAAAATAGTCACAAACTGTATTTGTTGGATAATTATCCCGGTAAACCTGGACATTACACAATCTAGGTCTCACTTCTTGTATATCAAGAGTTTTGCCCAAACTAAGAGCGATAGCGTACCATTCAGTGTGATATATATCAATTTTATTTTTAATTTCTAATAACAGATTTTTTAGATTAGTTATTTCAAAACACTGCTGGGATATGTCAAAAGATTTAGTTTGAAGAGTTACAGTAATTGAATTTGAAAAAAAACAGAATTGAAAAAAATCCATTAATTGTTTTGTAATAACTAAACTTACAATAAAAGAGAAATCTGTTAATAATCTTAAAAAAAAAAAAGAGGATTTGGAAGCAGTTTCACTGCTATATTCCTTAGAATCATTTAACCCCATCTCCTCTAAAGCATGAATAATAGGTATAAAATTATCAAAAAAAAACATCAAGACCTCTCAGCTTTTGAACCCATCTTGTTCGACAAGTATCTATTATTTTTTCTTGATTTGGACTTAAATATTTTTTGAGACAGTTACTACGTTTAGGAGATAAGTTAAAAAAATATATATTTATTTTACTCGGCCAAGAAGATTTTTTACTTTTTGAACTTGGCATGCAGCTGCTACTACTAAACTAAGTCTATGGCTTGCACAATGAACAAATATAGCTTTATGATTAAGAGCTTTTATTCGAGAAGCAACTCCTTCATATTTACCTGCCATACAACCCGCACCGCCATACCCTTGGCCTCTACAATTTTGAATATCAAGTCCAAACTCTTGAAGTGCATTAAGTACATTTAGAGACTAAGACCAGATGTACCAGTCTTGCAATCAATAAATCTTAAGAAATCCTCGCAAATCTCATTATTTGAATTTACATATCTTAAAACAAGTGACATTTGTTTAGTATTTGAACAGTCAACTGCTTTATCACAAAGAATTGAAAAAAAAATCGAATGCTTGACATTTTTTATTAAAACTTTCTCAATTGCTTTCCCACAAGAATCAATAAGTTGGTTTTGGGTAGTTTTTGATATATAGGTTGCATTTTTTGGACTTGAAGAAAGATGATTAGCTAATACTTGATCACCAGCATCAACACAAAAATTTAAAAGCTCTATGAAGTTACTAATTCCAACTTTTTGTGTAGAAGATTCCCCAATATCAGGATGATATTTGCTAGCATCACGAAATGCTAGATCGTTTCTACCAAGAAATATTATTATTTTAATTATTGGAACTAATTTTTTTTTTATTATCAGAAAGAAGTTTCAAATGAGAATTATTTAAATCAACCTCAATAACATTATTTTTGGAGTTGCAACGTGAAAGCAATGCATTAAATAAAAGCATAGGTTTTTCATGTAAAACACAACTTTCCTCATGTTTTCTATAATCACGAACAGCATTACCCCACTCTTGATGGGGCTTGAAAACTAAATTTAATATTCCAGACTTATTTGGAATACTAGCACCTAGCAAAGTACAAGGAAGACAGTAAGCTCCATCTTCTTTGCTAGAATAAGCTAACCAAGAAAACTGGCTGAGCCATTCAAATTTAAATGATCTTTTTGTATTAAAAGATATTGGAAAAACAAACATAGAATTAGGACAAAATACTTTGTTTACCATATCTAACAAAATAGAATCATCTTTGCCAGCAGTTGAAAGTTTACCTCGAACAAGATATGTTGAGACATCATACAAAGAATTTAATTCATTATATGAAGGAATAATAACTGAGTTGGAGTCTAATGACTTAACTATTTTTGAATCTACAGAAGGTTCAAAAGGCAACTCTATGAAAGCATTGTCTTTTTTAAAGTTAATTTTAGATTAAATTTTGACATGTTTTGCAGAATCAAGTTGTTGTTTTTTATTTGTTTCAGTTTTAGGACTAAAAAAGTGTAAAGGATAAGTAGTATCGTTTTTTATAGCCAAATTCTTATTATTACTAGAAATTAGTTTAGGTTTTTTAATAATTGGTACAAAATGGTTCGGTGTCCAGTTATCATTATTTTGCATCACTGACATAATATCAGTATTACACTATAAAATATTTAAAACATTTTGATCTTGATTTTTAATTGAACGAAATGGAAAAATAATTGTCTTTAAAAGTTTTTTGAATTTTTCTAAGCCAAAATCAGTATAAATTAATCTAATAGGAATATATAAAACTGATGACAAAGCAATTAGACATAAAAATGAAGAAAACTTGTTAGCTCGGCAGTTGATCAATGCTTCCATTATTATAATTTCAGAAGTAGATTCACTGTTAATTAATTTAAATTGATCTGAACATTCAAAAGAAACACAGGCTACTAGAACACTGGAAAGATTAAAAAAATTATTGTTTTTAACCTATTTAACAAAAAGGGAGTACCTCGCATAGTAGCAAACTTTTTCAAACAATTCAATCGAAGTTAGAAGCCTCAATACAATAACTGTCTTCAGAGACGAATTGCTTAAAAGTGAAGCTGAACTGTAGAGGCATGCCTCTACAGTTGCCAGAGGCATGCCTCTACTTTTTATTTTATTTAAGGTCATCTGAAGATGGAAATTGCCGGCAATTTCCATCTTCAGATGACCTTAAATAAAATAAAAAGTATACTAAAACAAGCTCAGTTTATATTAAATACTAGCTGGAAATATAAAATACCATTAACTTTAATAATAGGGTTTTACCTTAAAGCAACATAATCTTTAGTATCTTCTTGCTTTGGGATAAAACGATCCATTTCAGTATTTTCAGAAGACTGACTATGTGGCTGAACTGGACTCTTATTATTTAAAACTTTCAATTCTTCAGTCAACTGGTTTTTATATTTGCGAATATTTGGCAAATGTCTAGCCTTAATTGCATTTGAGACTAAAAAATTCATTTTTTTTTAAAACTTTAGTTTACAAGCTAAGTCCAACGACGAAAATTACGAGCGAAGAACGTATATCAGGCGGCATATCAGAATTTTGTAAAATTTGAACGATTTGGAGCAACTGATGCAATTGTTCTAAACTTTCTACAAATTTGATTGGTTATAAATAACATTTCTTATCTTTTTTGTAAAGTTTTTTGCGGAAGTTTTGTAGCAACTGATGCAATTGTTATTTTATTAAATAGTGATTGGTTTAAACTATTTTTTAACCAATCATTAATGATTTAGAGTACAATTGCATCAGCTGCTACAAAGTGATCGGAAAAATTTGTGAAAAAATACAAATATGATTGGTTAAAACGTTCTATTTTTTTTTTAAAACCAATCACATTTGTATTTAGTTAAGAACAATTGCATCAGTTGCTCCAAAACGCAGGAATTTTGTCTAAGTAACGAATAAGTAACTATAGAGATCGAATAAGTAACTATAGAGATCAAATAAAATTGACTTTAAATGATTTTTTTTCGAGTTTAAAACAAGTTTTTCATTTTTTGTGAATACCAGATTCCAATTTCTTCTTTTACTTTTTATTAAGAAAAAAAAGTGAAAAAGAGATACACTTAAATTTAGCGGTGAAAAAAGACTGATGCATGCGCATCATTCGCGACACCCTGGATCCGCCCCTGTATATATATATATATATATATATATATATATATATATATATATATATATATATATATATATATATATATATATATATATATATATATATATATATATATATATATATATGTGTGTATATACATATATGATTGTGTGTTTGTATATATGCGTACATATATATACATACATATATAAGTGTGTGTATATATATATATATATATATATATATATATATATATATATATATATATATATATATATATATATATATATATATATATATATATATATATATATATATATATATATATATTTAAAATTACTAGAAGTTATAGAGAATACAACTCTTTTTTATATTCCATTGGAGGAGGGAAAGAAGGAGAAAAAGAAAAAGATTTGTAATTAAATCCATTTAATAATATTTCAGCATTTATGTTTAACATTGTGTTGTTTATGTTTTGTATTGTAATAATATTTGTTTTGAAGCTAAGAAAACCAAAACAGCTAAAAAAAACTCAGTTTTTAAAAGAATGAAAATCCACTTCAAACGCGATTTTGAAACATCTTATTATAAGCCTTATAATTTGTGATTCTTTATATTTTCAATAACCCCTCTAATCTAAACCCATATTTACTAAGTGTATGTATTTACAATTATAATAATATTTTATTTGTTTTTCCTTTAACTTTTCCGTTTCTATTTAATCGCCTTTATAAAAAAAATATTTTTAAAGTTCTTTTGTGATGTTAAAAAAAGGCATTTTGAAGGCATTTGACAACTTGCTTTAAAGAAATCCTAAGTAAAATCAACTAATTGATCCAATCATAATTTCTATAATAAAAAAGGTAAGTTTTTGATCGAAGAATTTTAAGTATGTCCAAACAAAGAATAAAAGTAAGTTTGCACAGAACTTTACATTTGGGCATAGAAAGAATTCGTTACATTTCAGGTTAAAGAGATATGTAAATAACTGTTTGGTGTCAATTTCATTAGTAATAACTTTTGTTCATAGTTTGATGCTAAGTTACAGAGAGTTTCTTTTACGTCGTTGTTTACTTAGATAGAATAGCGAAAAATTGTTACTGTCATAAGAAAGGCATTTAAAGGGTATAACTGGTAATCAAGAATTTAAAGTGGATATAAAGACAAAAAAAAGTAATTTAATTATAAATTTGTTTGATTTTCTTATGAATTGACTATTATATCCATTCTAAATTTTGATGGTCGATATGACAGATATATGTCGTTTATATCATTGGTATAATCCAATTCTAGTGCTTTGAGTTTACCTACAAAAAGTTTTGAATAATGGTTTTAAATTCTTATTAGTGTTGCGTCTTAAAGGTTAAAGTTTATACCTATAGCGTAATGCATTTTGGGTTTCTTTCAAACGACTCGTCATTTTTGACTTTCTTTTCTGTAAAATTTGAAACAAATTTTTTTTTTAAATGATGTAGTGAATTGAAAAATTGTTTTGTATGTAATTTAACAAATCCGGGTTCAAACTGCATAATAAATAGGAATTTCATGTAGGAAGTTTCATGTCGGAAGTTGTAAATTTACCGATTTCTATAAAAAGTATTTCAGTAATGTAATGCATGCGTAGTTTTTACGTGGATTACGTTTAATATAAAATAATGGAAATATAGGCATTAAATTGAATTAAATTTGGGTTAAATTGAAATAATATATTAAATCATACAAATTAAACAAGTAATAATTAATAAACTAGATATAAAATAAATGACAAAACCAAAGAAAAAATGAATTGATATAAACAATATAAAGAATGAAATATTAAAAAAAAAAGTTTATCATTTTCTTTGTTATATTTCATTTGTTTTGTTTTTTTTATTTTTATTTATTACAATTTTTATTTATAGGTGTAATAAAAGAGTTAGAAATATTGTTTTTTGTGAAATAGAGGCTAACCTGATTACAAGGGATGCTTCTGTCAATCAAACTAAATCTTTTCATGGTATTTGTTTTGGCATCAGCAGAGGGTAGGATTTGTTATTATGATTATTTCAAACTTTTGAAATATAAAAAGTATGTTCAAAATAGAACATACTTTTGACAAAATGACCATTAGTACATTATCTCTAAGAAAAATTATCTCTTAATTTTTTTAAACTTAGTTTTTTGTTAGCATTAAAAATTGCTAAGATAATCAGTTTTTATTAAATATCTCAAAAAAAGGTTGTTTGAACAAGTTGGGTTTTTTAAATAAGTGATTCATTTACAAATTTAAGCAAAATTTCAATAGTTTTTGGTTTTTTAAAATTTGAATAAGTTTTTTTTATGTTGTCATATATACAAAACCACCTTTAAATGAAATGTCTAAGTTAAAAAGTTTTATAACTTTTTATGCTTTTAAGTTATGGTTAATGAAAGGAAAAATTTTAAATAAGAAAAAGTAAAATATTCAGTATAACAAAAGTATATATATTAAAAAGCATGCGGGCAAATCCTGAAGGTTTCCTTTTAAGCAATTACTGACGTAGTGAGAGTTCTGGTTCATATACAAGAAGTTTGATGCCGGCTCTGGCCAGATAAGAAATAAAAGAGGTTTTAACCATTTGGTCTTCTTATAGTTCCTTATATATTTATTATTAAAAATTTTAAAAAATATAATTATTGATAATAAAAATCAGTAAATACTATAAAATATCAGAATCACATAACAAACAAATAAAAAACAAAAAAAATCAAACAAAAAACAAATGACATGATCTCTCTAAAGTTTGCCGTGTTTATTTTTGATTATTAGTTCATTTATTTAGTTCATTTTACTTTGTACTTTTACTTCTCTAATAGAAACTGAAAAATAATTTTAGTCGCAAAATAATTTTGCTGAATGTAGCTGTTTTAATTTTGCTGAATGTAGCTGTTACTTATGTAATTTATGATTCTGTTCTGTTAACTATCTGTTCTGATTTATTTAAATAGCAAATTAAAAATTTTAAGACATAATATTACTAGTATATATTTATATTAATTTCAAATATAAATATACAATTGGTAGATACTGATTTGGTAGACATTTATTATATTTGGCTTAGTAAATAATGCTTAGAAATTTATAAAACGGCCCACACTAGGATAAGATTCAGATTGCATGTTTTTTGTTTGTTAAAAAATTTTTTCACTTTATTTATGTTTGTACTGCACCAAGCAATGTTTGCGTAATATTAATAAAAAATATATGTAAAAGTTTTAAGCTAATTGGATTTAAAGAAGGTTTTGTTTTCCAAAATAGGCAATTTTTTTTTAAATTTTATTTTTGAGATAATATGTTGATCTCCCCACGTCACATTATCGGGATTGGGGGCAAAGCCGAAATAAAACAATAGGTTTGTTTATAATTTAAAGATAAAGTTTAGATATAAAATATGCCATACCAAGAGATGATATGCACGTTTCCTTGGCTCCTCCTTATATATATATATATATATATATATATATATATATATATATATATATATATATATATATATATATATATATATATATATATACATATATATATATATATATATATATATATATATATATATATATATATATTTGTTTATATATATATATATATATATATATATATATATATATATATATATATATATATATATATATATATATATATATATGTGAGGAGCCAAGGAAACGTGCATATCATCTCTTGGTATGGCATAAGTACACGTGTAAATCTTATATATTATATTATATTATTATTTATAAATAACTAAAGTGTTTTGACAGATTCTAGTCACAAAAATAAAAAACATTAAAAAAATTTTAAATTACTAAAACAACTTTCTGTCAGAAAGTCTTATTAAAATTTAAAACTAGAACGACTTATTAAAATTTAAAACTAGAAAAAAATTTAAAATGGTCATGCAACCTACTGGATTTGTCTAACGGATGCAAATTGCTGGCTTTGTCTGACAACGTGTGCACAATCATGTACAAAACTAATGGTAACATTTTTAATCTTAGTACCATATTATGCTCTCATTAATATAAAATTAAAAACATATTTTAAATTTCAAAACTTTTATTTCAATTTTTATTTATAAAAATATTTTATGGTTATATTTATGGTAATATTTTATTTTATGGCACATTTATGGTAAGAAAGCAAAAGAAAGATTATAAAAATAAATTTATAAAACCACTTATGTTATACAGCCAAGTTTTAGTGTTCAAAAGAAATAATTCTAATTTGTTTTAAAAGAATTAAAGTCAATTTATTATGTTTGTTATATTTAAACCAGCAATATTTGTGTTAAGTCTTTTGCTTATAGTTACTACGAGTTCATAGATAGTGTAAATAGAAATATTTTTGTATCATCTGCAAACATGATACTCATTACGTAAAAGCATCAAAGCTTTGTTTTCCAGAAAACACTAGACATGTTTTAGACGTCTAGAAGACGTTTAAAAGAAGTTTACACAATTTTATAATTTCAAAAATTTTAAATTTTAATTAAAACTAGTGTTTATTTGGTTGGATCAGATTACAAGAATCATTTGTTTTAAAGATCGATTCCGTAGGTAATATTAACTTTATTTTGATTGCAACCATTACTAAAAACGTTTATTTTAGGTTTCAAAAAATAACTTTTAAGAGTTTTCCCCACATATTTGTTTAATTTAGTCTTTTGCCTGTTTAGCGTGGGTTATTATTATTATTATATTATTAGAGTTATTACAACAAAAACTTTGGAACTATCTTAACTATTTTCAACAACTTTAGGCATCAAAAATGTTCAATTTCTTATAAAAATATATGTCATCATTTATGATAATGTACAAAATTAGTCCTTAAAGGTTTTTATATGGAGGTAGAGATTATGCTATAATTTATCAAGGTAACTCACACTTCGTGATACAACAACTTAAATTTTTAACTTGCATAACATTAGCAACCTAATAACCTGCTTGATGAAGTAATAAATTAATGAAATTTTGTTCAACTTCATTTGAGGTATTTTGAACCACAACCCATATTTCAATTCAACATCATCGTTTTAAAAGTAAATCTCAAAATCTATTTAAAAAAACTAATAAAAAGCCATAACTGATGTAATATTGTTTTCTATTTGGCTTGATAATTTTTTATTCGGAAATATTTAATAAGATTTAGTAAACATAACTATGTTTATTTTCAGATGCATAGATTATAAAAAAGTCCAAAACATTGTACATCCAAAACGATGAAGAAAAAGCTAATCGTTTATCAGATAAAAACTTTACTAAACTGCATGCTGTGAGCAATCAGTAGCATTTAACAAATTCGAATGTAAGTATTAAAAGAAAAAACTTAACTCAACATGCCAGGGCCGACGACACGGGTTTCGAAGTGGACGGGGGGGGGGGGGGAGCGCAATCACTAATTTCTAAAAAAAGTCTTCTATATCTAGATTTTTCTTTAAAAAAAAAAGGTCCTTTAAAAAAATGTGGAGAAACAGGGGGCAAGCGCCCCTCTTTCCCCACATTTCCCCATCCTTCCCCACATTTCTTTCCCCATATCCTCGTCTCCCCAATGTTGTCGGCTCTGCTTGCAAAAATTAATAAGAAGCATTAATATTATAGAATATTGCCAAGGAACTATTGCATACAAACAATTCTAAAACTAAAATTTGTAGAAGCATAATTTTAAAGGTTCTTAGTTTTAAGTCCTTACCGTCTTATCACAGGTCTTATCACCGTCTTATCACATTTTTGCTTATTGGGCTAGAACCGGCGTTAAAATTCAGACCTCTGGCTTCTGAGCCAGGACTCTAACCACTATTCCTAGACTGCGTAAAGGGTAGGGTTAAAGGTTAGGATTAGGGTTAATTTTGAAATCAAGCTTGACAGTATTATCCAAAATCTTATTCAAATTTTTCAGTTCAATTATTACTCACCACACTAGTCTGCAGTGAGAACATTCCATTGAAATAGATGACTAAAATTATTGTTGTATTCATGTAGATTATGAGGCTTAAATAAGTAAAATAGAGCCTTAGAATATTTAGGCTGGCTTTAAAGCGTAACTAAAAAAACATAGGTACACTTTTTTTTTTTCTTCAGCTTATTCATTTAACGCAATAAAATTCTCTGAATTGTTAATTATTAAAAAACTACTTAATACTATTGTAATTTTTTGACACAATGACGCTGACACAATGACGCTGACACAATGACGCTGTTTGAATTTTTTATTTATTCAATAATTTATTACAATTTTTATTGGATGCTAAGATTTTTTGCCAAAAGCTAACTTCTTGCTTGTCAACAAGACAAGCAAGAAGTTAGCTTTTTAATTAAGTTATAATTGCCCTATAGCTTTCACTAACTCGAATCTCAAGACAAATTAGAGAACTTGCTTCCTTAGGTACAAAATCAATGCAATTTTGTTCATACCATTCTATGGGCATTTTGGAGTAGTGAATTGTAGCTGAATCAGGCCAATATATTTTGGGTGTGTCATGCTTTTTAATAAGTGAAAAAAACCGTTTCTTTAAATATTATTTTATATACAAACCCGCGTTCAAAGTTTTACGAATGACGTATATAGGGCTGTGGAGTCGGAGTCGGAGTTGCGGAGTAACTACATTTTTAGCGGAGTCGGAATCGGAGTCGAAGTCGCTAAACAAAATCGCGACTCCGACTCCTATAGTAAAACTTCTCGGTATTGGACGGGCATGTACAAAACATTCAATCAATCTTATGTTCATACTAAACCTCAAAGAACGTTTCATAAATTTGTCAAAAAAAACTTTTTAACATATTGCGTATTACGTTTTAAAGAATTCAAAGGGTTTTCAAAAGTTTTGCTTTGGAGTTGTAGTCGGAGCCGGAGTTGGAGACAGAGTCGGAGTTGAAGTTGCACTCAAAAAAATTTAACAACTGGAGTCGGAGTCGGAGTCGGAGTCGGAGTTGTACTCAAAAAATTCCAACAATCGGAGTCGGAGTTGGAGTCGTTACTTTTTTTTTATGACTCACACTCTCGGATTTATTTTTCAAACTACAGGAGCAGATTGTTTGCCGTATAAGGAACATGAAATCTCAGTTGTAATATACTTGAATTTTTTGGCTATATATCTACCTTTTGACTAATAAAATTATTTCTATCCTGACAATTGTGAAAAGTCCTTTTTTCAGCAGGTTTCATCGCTTTTAATTATACACAAGTTTTCTCGGTTTAAAAGTTTATATAGCTTTTTCGAACAAATAATTGGTTTATTTTTTTTATCAACGGATTACTTTGGAGTTTTCTTTTTATGATTTGCTTTATATTCTTGAAACCTTTCGTTATATTCTTTGAGTACTTTCTTTTTAAAGCTTAGCTGTATTAATATTTTCATGCAAGATATCTCAGCGACTGACATGGATTTGCCTTTATGAAGCGAATGATAGATTTTGCTTTATATTAATCTTTAAACTCTTTTTTTTTTCCACTTCCGCCTTCTTTTTTAATAGATCGAGTCTCTTTATATTGCTAAAAAATAAATTCAACGGAAAAACATTGGTCAATTTTGAAATATCAACTTGAGACAATAAGGGAGTTCAAAAAAATTTTCTTTTTTTCGCTTCATTATTTTTCTGCTCATTTTAATCCGATAACATTGATCACCAGTATTTATTAGTATTACAATTAAGTTATAAAACATTACCTTCCGCGTGCAAAAAAAAGTTTTTTTCAAACTTATTTAATATTTTTTGAATAATTAACGATTAAAGAGTGCTGCTTTTCATCTTGTTTAACCGATGTTATTATTTTGTTTAATTTTTAATACAAAATCTGTTTCAACATTAGACTTATTTTAGAATTTTTTTATTAAGATTTAAGAATAATTGTTCCAATTTCTAATTTGACTATCAGTTTCACCGCAAGTAACAAACTTTTAACTTTATCTGATAACCCTCTTAAGTTTCGTCTATTTTGATATTCTTGATAACAAGTTAGAACTAATTTAAAGTGATTTTAAAGTATACAGAAGTATAACTCAAACATCAAAAAAGTTAGTTTCTCTACTTTGAAAAATTTTATATTGGAGATAAACCAGGTTAGGCTTGTTTGAGTTCATCACATTCACCCTAGAGTTTGCTCTAATTTTAAAAGTTTTATCGGGGAATAAAAAATAAAATTTTTTTTGTGTGTTTGTGTGTGTGTGTGTGTGTGTGTGTGTGTGTGTGTGTGTGTGTGTGTGTGTGTATGTGTGTAGTTTATTTTACCGTTAAAGAACGTTTATCTTGCATACACATAAATTCATGGCTAGAAAATAAAAAAAGGCACACTTTATATTTTCGCCGATCCCCATTTAAAAAAAATCTTTTTAACTGTAACATATAAATATATATAAAAATATAACTTAGAAATGAAATAGAAAATAACTAAGAGAATATATAAATTAAAAATAACAAATAATTAAAAAATGTTAAAATGCTTACAATTGCTAAAATATTTTAGAAATATATAAACAAAGGTTCTGGAATGAAGAAAAAAAAAAAAATCACAATAAACATAATCACTAAATAAACTTTTAACATCATCACATGAATTTCATCGGTGTAAATAAATCTGGTTTTATTTGAGTTAACTTAAAAAGAAACATTTAAAGTCAGATATATTATTCAGAATAGTAACAATCGTTTTAATTTATTCTTAAATTGCTGTAATATATATATATATATATATATATATATATATATATATATATATATATATATATATATATATATATATATATATATATATATATATATATATATATTTGTATTAACTTAAAATTAATCGGTATTAACTTTTTACTTACTAGTATTAAGTTAATACTGATTCATTTTATTAAAATAAGTTTGAAAATTTTTCTGAGACAATCGCATTTTTGTTTTAAACATACACAATAAAACTTGGTGTAAATTGGGTTTATACATATTCAAGTATTAAGCACGCGTAAAAGTGGTTGGCATGTAGCATATCTATAGGCTC